CGTCACCTACGGAACCTTACCGCTAAAAACGTTGCAAATGGAATAGACCGCGACACGGTCGGTTAAGCCGTTTCTGACATTAGCGCGCACAAACGCACAGACAAACAGGCAAAAAATTTAACAATCATTGTTTTGGGTTCTATTACGTTGATAAAGGCTCCCAATAATATTTTTTCTCAAATATCTTCCATGTAGAGACAACAGTCAGTTACATTTTTATTATATGTATAGATACTGTCATTAAAATATTGTAACAATACTTACTATGTTATTATACTACGACTCCAAGCACCTCACGCTTTACTACAATATTTTTTTGTTAATCACATTATTCAGCTCAGAAATATACCCAAAAACTTTTTTCAAATAATCACGTCGCAACGCCTTATTAAATTGACACCCAGGGTAGGATTTTAGGCGCCCAACCCTGTTGACAGTTTGACACCTGTTGATGTTCTGGTTTCTGGTTCTGACAGTTTCAATTTTCAATCAAAGAAAATGTAATTAGAATAACTACCACGTAATAAACGTAGTGGACAGTGGTACAATATTCTCTTTGATAACCACTACGTTTTACGGTGGTTTCATTTCAATCATAGATGATACGTATATACTGATTTCAATGTTATGTTATGCGCTATTGGCTGAGCCTGACAGTAACATTGCATCCAAAGTTCCAAACTTTTATTTATTCTAAGGTTCTATTCTAAGTTTTTCCTCGTTAAGAGGTCAGAGGACACATTTGCTACGCTTAAAGGCAACTAAAAAGGGTATATGACATGCTTCAACCAAACGAAAATCAGATTAAGTTACAACCAGAAGTTACTAGATGTAGTTGGCTTAACAACGATCCAGTTTATATCACTTACCATGACACTGAATGGGGTAAACCAGAATTAAATAATCATCGCCTATTTGAAATGTTGTGTTTAGAAGGGCAACAAGCTGGTTTGTCATGGATTACAATATTAAAAAAAAGAGAGGAATACCGAAGACTATTCCATAAATTTAATCCCTATGAAATATCTAAAATGAATGAAAATGATGTTACTAAATTGTTGAATGAATCAGGTGTTGTAAGACATAAAGGCAAGTTGGAAGCGATAATTAATAATTCTAAATGTTATCAGATCATGGAAAAAAAGGGAGAGGACTTTACTCATTTTATTTGGAGTTTTGTTGATCATCAACCTATTGTTAACAGTTGGAAAAATATCAATGAAATCCCAACGGAAACTGATACATCACAATCTCTGTCCAAAGCCTTGAAAATGAAAGGATTCAAATTTGTTGGCCCAACAACTTGCTATGCTTTTATGCAGGCTTGTGGACTTGTTAATGATCATGTTTTAAGATGTTCTTACCGCAATTGATATCACTTGATAAACATCAATTTTAATAATACACAATACAAAGTTATCAAAATGAAGGGTTTCATTGTTTATTTCTGCTGCTAAGTTAATACTTATTTAAATTTTAGCTTAATTTCTATATTTAATGTGAGTCGTAGACCAATCATATCTACAGACATAATAAATTCAGTTACAATACATTTAAAACTAATTTCTCATTGTTTTAAATTATAGCTGTATATAATAAGACCCACATTGTTGCTATATTATTAATAAAATAAAATGAAGCGTATCAATGCAGTATAGTGCAGGAGGTAAAATTTAACCATATTTATTTTGATGTAGATAGCATTGTGCCCACACCGATACAGCCCACCTAAAGGAGGTGGACCGCGTAATCGAGATTAGGGCTGCGCTTCCCCCGGAAGGCGATCCTTTGAGTTCAGTGACCCCCGAAGAGGTCCAAGCCATTATTAAAAATTTAAAACCGAAATCCGCCCCAGGCCCAGATAATTTTAGTAACAAAATTCTCAAAGCTCTCCCTGGGCCACTTATCTGCTTACTGGCGACCATTTTCAATACTTTACTCTCCAGTTGCTCCTTTCCGGACGACTGGAAAGAAGCCACGGTTATCGGCATTCGCAAGCCGAATAAACCAACCAACCAGCCCCCTAGTTATCGTCCCATCAGCCTACTCAGTTGCCTAGGGAAGCTCTACGAGCGGCTTTTATTAAAGAGGCTCAAAAAGCACGTGTTTTCCAACGGCCTTCTGCCGGTGGAACAATTCGGCTTTCGAGCTAGACATTCCTGTCCCGATCAACTATTCCGCCTAGCAGAACATATCCTAAAAGGCCTAAATCACCCTAAAAATATTAGTACAGGGGCTCTTTTCTTCGATGTCGCAAAAGCTTTCGACAAGGTATGGCACAACGGCTTGCTTTACAAGCTGTAAACACTCAAAGTGCCAGATAGGCTCGTACACACCATCCGGGCCTTCCTGTGGAACTGCTCTTTTCGATATCGAGTTGAAGGCACCCTCTCCACAAGCCGCCGCCTCGGCCGGCGTACCACAAGGCTCCTGCCTCTCACCTTTGCTCTTTACGCTCTACATGAGCGATATACCTAAAGACCCCCACGTCAATCTCGCGCTTTTCGCGGATGACAGGCAACCTTAGTCAACTAACCACTCGACTCCAAAGCGCCGCCGACCGCCTCGGCGATTGGTTCCGCAAATGGAGAATAGAAATAAATCCCGAAAAGAGTGTGGCGATTCACTTCACACGAAGTACTTACCCGTCACATCTTTATAACGGCCCTCGTCTATGCAGAAAGTTGGGGCAAATATCCCTTTATGGTCAACTGCTCCCCTGGGAGAAAAAGGTCAAATACTTAGGAGTCACTCTCGACTCACGTATGTCATTTAATACGCACATTAATAACGTTCGCAATAGAGACGCGTTCGTCTCCGGCCGGCTACACAATTTAACTAACTCTAAAAGTAAAATGCCCTTAAGGCACAAATTATTATTATATAAGACCTGCGTACGACCTATTATGTCCTACGCATGCATGACCTTCGCCCACACGCACCCAACTCGCTTGTACAAGTTGCAAATAGTACACAATAAGTTCATCCGCCGCGCAACCGGTGCGCAGTGGTATCAACGCAACGTCGACCTGCACAGCGATTGCAGACTCCCCACGATTCGCGAATATTTTAAAGACCTGACCAAACGGTTCTTCGATAGAGCCGAACATCATCCCAACACTCTGGTGGTAAGCGCGGCAAATTATCAACCCGACCAAACGCGAACGTCAACAAGCGTCGCCCGCGAAATGTCCTCATCGACCCGGTCGAGGAAGGGGATTTAGATACGCCGGACCCACTGCCGGGGGTCCCGCCGGATAACACTACACCCATAGTTAGTGCAACAACAAACACACTAGTTCGCCCTCGCCTAGCACGGCGGGACCAACATAACGCGTACACAAGGTACACCCGCGTTCCGGGGCGGTTCTCATCGCTCCCAGCCGCCGATTAGCTAACAGTCGACGGCTATCGGGGTTTTGGTCCGAACCGCGACCACGATGGTCCTTAGATGACACACCATAGTTAAACGCACGCATGAGCACTTGCGCGGCCTTACCCACAGAAGAGGGTCCAAACCTGACCGGTTCGGCGTCAGATGAAGCTTTAATAGTCTCGGGACTGAAAGCAAAAACATCAGTTAAGTAATACAAGATACAAGAAGGAATCGTCCGTTATTTTCTTTCAAACAAAGATATATGTACTATGACCGATGCAAGAAAAAGAAAGAGCTTGTAACAGTGACAGTGTTCAGTAAAAACTGTGACAAGGTGTAACAGTTTTTATCTCTTTCTAACTAAGGTAACAGTCGTAGGCATGAGTAAAGAAAAGCTTGTGATAGCGTGTTAAGGAGCAATTTGTTTGGAACAGAAACTGTTATTTCACTTTGTTTATAACCGGTGCAGTCTATTATCTCGAGATACTTGTTATATTTATCTGTTACGATAAATACACCTCACTACTATTTCCACGCCATCTAGTTGTGGGTAGAATTAATTTTGCTCCTAATATTTATAACATGCATTGTCACTTAACTTGAAAATTCATTCTGGTTTTTATGGCAATACATAAAATAAAGTATTTAATGAGAAGTCAATATTTTCAGCCCCAGGTTATAAACTACTTGAATCTCTCTTTTGGAGGATGTTGATTGTATTTTTATCAGCCGTGTTTCCCAAAGTAGAATGTCATAAGACATTATACTGTGGAAAAAAAGTAATTTAGCAAACGAGTCATATCTACATCAGTCACCTGTCTTATTTTTTTAACTGCGAAGGCTGCTGAGATTATTTTTATTGTTTGATTCTAATATTATTTTTATTAAAATAAAGGTATTAAATAGGGATGATAAAGTTAAAAAATATAAATATATCGATATATATTTTTTAACTTGCCCATCGTACGTCGTATCGACATTTTAAAAAAGTATGCATGATTATCGGCCAAAAAATATCAAGTTATCGTAATTTTTTGCATGATTACTTATATATATTCTTAAACCATTCAAAATTCGTAAAATAGAATAGACATGAAGAAAATAGTTGAAAAGAGTTTTTAAAGTTAATGATGCGCGAGGGAAATGCAAAGAGTATCTATTAGCATTAAACACGAAACCAGAGTTCCGTTAAAATATATCTAAATTGAACATTTGATAGTCTAAAATATATATCGAATACCAATATATCGTGATAAAAAATATCGACGATATACATCAATAATTGTATGGAGAAATATCGATATTTTTTGCCCATGCCTAGTATTAAATATGAATAATGAATGTCATTGTATATGTGTTTCTATTTTGAATTTTCAGTTTTCATTTTTAACAATGCTGTCATGTCATGCAGTTAACTTAGTATATAATATCAACTTAGCTTGTTAAACTATGATGAATAATAACTAACAGTGTTTTAGAATTAACAGTATTTATTGGCGTATTCATTTGAAATTGTCAAAATAGGAAAGAAGGATATCATTTTTTTTTAAATAATTGAGTGCAGTACATTATAATAGAAAAATTTGTATTATTATATCAAGAAATATGAATATTCCCTTTCCAGTCTTATTACCCCGTCTTATAGATTCAAAATGGTTTAGTGCTGATAGCCCTTGTGACGAAGAAGCTGAACTTACTAGCTTGGAACTGGCAAGTCAACAATTGGTATGTTTGGTTGCAATTTATTTTTTTAAATTGTTTTTATAAAGATTTCTTGTGTATTATGGATGATACATATTTGTCAATTGTTGGTTTCAATTCAGGACTTTTTTGGACACAGGATGAAACTTCCTAAGTTTTTTGTACTTTCAAGCGTTAATGTTTTTTTATTGCTACAAATATGTCTAGGGCTATTTTGAAAAACTGGATGTGGTATTAATACACTGTGGTAATGGAAAATTTTACCCTGGATGTAATAGTGGTGTACTTACGTATTAACGCCACCGCAGTAGAATAAGTTGCGCCTATACGTCAATAGAGTGCAATCTTGTCGATCTGACTCGAAATCCGACTCGGATTCGCTTTTTGTCTGTGTGACTCAATTCTACTGGGTGCTCGATGTTTGAGGTATTTTAATCTATTCAGTAATCGAAAAAAAATGTTGTGTTTACATGTTTTCATTACAATCATTATTTTGTGCATTTAAATACATGTTAATCAATATGTGAGAATAACTTTTATTCTTTTAGTTAAGTTCTATTGGCCAGCAATATATGAAAAGAGCACCATTAGGTAAATCAGATCCTGAACCTATGGAAGAAGAAGCAGATACAGATGAGGAAGAAGGTATGTATGTCTGTGTTTTTGTATTTTGTTCATGAATATTCATGAGGATAACACAAATAATACACAGCTTATTCCAGAAGTCAATATCAAGCAGATAATAATCGACCATCCTCCTCCTCATGATGGTCTTGAGACCATTCTTTAAAAGCATGTCTCCTATACAATCAAGAACTTCATACATGCAAAAAAGCTTTGCATTGCCTGTTGTTAGCTTTAGCTTATCATTTAAATGACCTATTATGTTGTCAACAATCGCTTCGAGAAATTGATGGTACAACACTTCAGTTTCAATATGTCCGTTATTTTTCTACATTACCTTACCATCATAATACTTTCATAACATATTGGTGAAGCAATTTCAGAGATTATTGCGCACAAACACACAGATAACAAGATAAAAATACCTAAAACAGTCATTGTTTTGGCCTCTATAACATAGCCGGAATCAAATTCTAGAATAATTTATCAGATTACCGAAGAAACAATAAACATTAATTTATACATTAATAGATAGACATTGAAAAGCTCACATTAAAACGGAATTTCATGGATAAAATTTGATCAAGTTAAATAAAAAACAAGTTAAATATCGATAATATTATTAAATCGCATAAAAATGGCACTATGTATAAAAGTAAAAAAAAGAAAGAATATACTGCTACTGAATAAGTTTTGAGCAGTACTCAGTATTTTGGAGTTTGCATAGTACAGCACCACTAGAGTATTGAGAATAATCCACACTGGATTAGATAAGTTAAAAACTTAAGTGCCAGATTTGAAATTGTTATTTTTTATTTAACTGTGAAATTTGAATAACTATCCAAAGTCATTTATTCATATAAAGGTTTTGATTTGATTTTTTTATTAGTTCTTGAGGATTTGCACAACTTGTTAATTCTATATTTGAGCAATTATGATAAAAGGCTGTGCTAAGTAAGTCATCTTTCTCACTTATAAAATAATGTTAACCTTCACTTTCAATGTAACTAAGGGTGCTAAAGGTAATTGAGAGTTTTAATTCTTGCCTTGATGTAGTCAGGTAGGTAAATCAGCAATAATAAAATCCACCCACTATCAGTTTTCTGTAAATTAGGCAGCAAAAATGACAGTAAAGGGCCTGGATACAACTATTGAGATAACTGGTGACTATAAGTTTTATCAAAATGTATTGATAGGATTGGTCAGCTTAAAAAATATTTGTCTATAGTAATAGTATGTCATCATCCTTCTGCCCTTATCCCATATATGTGAGGATGGCACAACACATGAATCATGTTGTAAATAGTTTTGGCTATTTATTTATTTTTTACGACTGGCCGCGTGCCGACGTCAACTCTCCTTGGAAAACAAACACCCGAGATCCAGAACAATAATTATCTTTGGATCCCACAAATACTTGTACCGAGTGGGAGTTAAACACACGACCGACGACGCTGAAGTTAAAAATTAAAAACGGCTCCACCAAGTCATAAATTTACGAAGTTTATCATAGTGTAGGATATACATTTTATTTCAGTGGTTTTAGATAGTTTTTTTTTAAGGAAAAGGTGGCAAACAAGCAGGCGGGCCAACTGATGGTATGCGATCACCGCCACCAATGAGCTACCATAAGATCATAGACAAAATCCAGTTAGGGAACAATGAATATATTCCATGTATTCTTATTTTAGGTAATGACGAAACAGATGAATCTGAGGAGTCTCATGATGAAGATGAAGAAGAAGAATTGCAGACATATTCTCCTGCAAGAAATAACAATGAATTGGAACCCGACAGTTTAGATGAAATTAATGAAGCACCTGATTTGAATGCATCTGATCAAAGTGCACTGTGGCCGATTCAATAATTTTGTTTAATTTTATTAAAGGTATAATTTAATCTTAGTATTGTAAAATAAAGCCTAGAATAATTTGTACTTTCAAACTATTGATTACATAAACATCTAGATAGCTTTACCCTCATAAAAATAATTTTATGGCACGGCCTGAATTTTTATGTGCATAAAGGCATTGTTTTATACTAGCATTGATTCTGTGCATATATAGGGATACTGGGCAATAATCATAAAAATGTCATGTTGTTAAATGGCATATGTACATTAACAATGTCTTTGATACCATTCGTGAAGTGTGACATTTAACTAAAAGAATGTACATAAGGCAATGATATTTTATACTATAGATATGATATACAGGATGGCTTTTCTAAATGTATCCATTTTTTTTTATTAAATTCTAGACATAAATAATGTTATATAAAATGATAAATATTTAAAATCACTCGTAAGTAATTAATTACATTCATTTGAACTTATCTCAAAAAGTGCGTGATTTATACGAAACTCATTTATTTTACGCGCGATCATTCATAACTAACACGCACACAAGTTCGTGCACAGTAAAATTTAAGTATTTATGAATGACTATCGCTTTCTCAACACATTGTTTTTAGGGAATAGAATGGACTTTTTTTTAAAAAAAAAACTGTTTTTTATTTCAATAAACGATTATACTACCGAGTCTGAACCCTCCTCTCCCTGTATATAAAAAAACTGTTCCAAACACAGTGACAGCACAAATTCACACGTTTCGTTCATCGCCTATGATATTTTATACTACAGCTCAGATACAGTAGACAATTACAACAAGACAATTTAGACGGAACCTTGTGCTCAAATAGTGTCAATCACTCGATATGATTTGGTCATACTTGCCGCGAGGGAGTGCATGACGTACCTACATAGTTTTAATGAAATAACCCTACTCGCTTGTACAAGTTGCAAATAGTACAAAATAACTTCATCCGCCGCGCAACCGGTACACAAGGTACACCCGCGTTCCGGGGCGGTTCTCACCGCCCCCAGCCACCGATTAGCTAATTGCACATTCGACGGCCATCGGGGTTTCGGTCCGAACCACGACCTCGATGGCCCTTAGATTGCACACCATAGTTAAACGCACGCATGAGCACATGCGCGGCCCTACCCGTGGGTTCTGGCTAGCCCATCAGTTCTGCGTTAGATGAAGCTTTAATAGTCTCGGGACTGAAAGCAAAAACATCAGTTAATACAAGAATGAAATAATAATTGCGAAATTATGCCGTCCTATGTCATAAACGTCTGTAAGAACAAAGCATGCTTTCAAAAGTGTTTTGGGATTACTTATAGTTTGATTTAAAAACTTGAAATTCTTTTTACTATATCAGACTTTTTTTATTTGTTGCTTTAAATTTGAAGATTTTTGGAAACTTTAAAAGTTCATGTAATTATGGAATAATATGAGTGCCGTCGTGGAACCAACGCGGCACAAACGGCACGTTACATCAACGTTTACGGAGAGAACTTTACACGAACGCACAACCCGTTGTTGGTTTGCCCGGTTCCGTTCTGGATATTGGCTTGAAAAATGAACCTCGTCGTCGTCCGAACACTGGTTAACAATAATGAATTAAAGGCGATTGTGGAAGCTGATGATACTCAACCTACAGCCGAGCTAGCAGCAGCCATTTGCGTCAAATTGGCAACGTAAAAGAGCTTGATAGATGGGTGCCCCACGTATTTATCGATCGCCAGCGCTTCTATCATTCTACACAGTTATGCACTTCGTTTGTTATCATGGAAGTGTTTTGAGGTGTGGTGCATTATGTCAATAAAAATACTGCTTTCTACAACCTTTTATTACAATATAAATAAATACCAATGCAAAATCAACGTAATTGAATCCTCGATTATTTTAAAGTTAAAAAACAGCTAGAGTTATTTCAACTTAAAACATTATTTAAGTATTGAATAATTAAATTATTTCAGACTTATGTTTTAATAGTGCCTAAAATACACTTGTAACGTCTACAACAATGCTTACGATTCTAGCTAACAATGGGACAATATTAACTTTGGAGACAGTTGTCCATTTATTGGACAAACATTTCTCAATACTTGCATGTGATGTCTTTTTGTCTGGAACAAAGAAATTGAATGACACCTAAGAAGCACTGTTTCTGTTGAGAAGTTTAATTATCCAAATTTTTTCATTAAATAGTAAGCTACTATTGTATTGTCATCCCGGATGTCGCGTCGTAAAGGAGGATCCTTTTGAAAGATATGCTTGTGCAATGAAATAGTATTTTTTTCACGATTTTTTTTTTAAAGTAATGCTACTAAACACTCGGAAAATAAAATTACTATTATGTATTCTCACCCTTTCTTTTGTATTAAATATTAATAGAAAAAAAATCAAAACAGTTTACATACCAGAACACTTTGCCATGTTGAGCGTGAAAAATATAGCGCTTCTCTTTATCAACGGATTGAACTCGTCGCAGTAGTAGTGGAATGCCATAGCCAGTGGCGCCGGCACTTCATCCAGATCTTTGACGAGCATTACGCCAGTTCTAGATACATCTTCCCGGTATCTCTCAATCAGTTCACCGTGTACGCGCATTTCGAGTTCTTTACTATCTACGATCACATGGTTACGAACGTCGGTATCGTTCCCTGCATAAAAATTGAAATTTTTATAGCACTAATCTCTGCACTTAAGATTAATTTCTACAAACTTAAATGTTTCCTGCATAGTTTCATGCAATTTATTATATGGAGAATTTTAACGTGTTTTATCTTGAGTGAACCTATCTAGTAGACGGCTTCTCCAGATGGTAAGTGCGACACATTTTGTAGAGATCCGCAGCAGCCTTTGCTGTAGGCCGGCGTGGGAAGTACCACAACGTACTACAAGTGGCCTGGGATGTATTATAGTTTTGTGTTTCAATAGGTGCAAGGTAGCCGGGACCTACTGTTTTTTGAAGTGCCATCTGGAACATCGTCTGATGTAGATGTCCATAGGCGGCGGTTGTCACTAAACATAAGGTGAACTGCTAGCTCGCATGTCAACTTTTCACATAAAAAGTAAACTGGAAAACATTTAAAAACAATATTCTCATGCTAGGTATGAGTGGTATTTAACGCCTGTTCGTGTGAAGGAAAATCTGCATTATGCAACTTACTTAAATATCGAGCCGCGGTAGACGCAATGTCATTCATAAAGTTGTTAAAAAGTGTAGGATCAAAATGAGAGCTTTGACTGTTGTATGTGAATATAAAGGAGCCAGCATCTTGTCTTTGAAATATTGTTGATATTCCTGAAAACAAGTATTTACGGTAAACATAATCGCATCAAATCATAAAAAAATTATTTCATAATTTTGGATAATTTGTTTTTCGAATGAGATTAAATTTTTAGTTTCTGCTCATTTTTCTTTGGTCAAGTCTAGTGTGAACCGGTGGTTGATTTTTTTTTGACGTAACTTAATAAAGATAAGTTTATATTGAATAAGACTTTGATTTTTATACATCTATATAGTGCCGAAATATTTTACCTGTTTGAATCTGCAATATTGAGTCATCAGTTACTTTGTATTTCTGTCCCAAATTTGTTACATCCGTGTGAAATTTGATTTCATCATAAATCATACTATTATTGTTCTGCATAAATAAATTTAAAATATCATCACGATAATGAAAAGTGATTGCGATTACTACTATAATTGGCATGATTAAAAAATTATTCCAATAAAATTCATTTTTGTTGCCCAAGTGTTCATTCTGAGGTTCTTTGGGGCATGATTGCCTATTGACGCGTAAATTATGCGACGATAAATTTCCAACATTGGAAGTATTACTTTCGTTTTCTCTAGCTCTTTCAGGAGTGAAAGCTAGTGTTTCCAAGCTGTTGAATTCTTCTGAAGTATCTCTGAAACAACAATTATAATACTGCATAAAGTATTTTACAGGGTTTATCGCAATGCATGATAAAAATATAAATTTATTTTTCTAGTTGACATTAGATTTACAGCTCGAGGTAAAAGAACAGATATAAATCTCTCCTCAAGGGCTAATATATCTGTAACACACTTCATTTCAAACTATATCTTTAGAAGATATAGTTCATTTCTCTTTATTAAATATGTCATTAAGCAAGTGAATGATTCACAACGGATGCAACTTTCAACTCAGTAGTTCTGAGAGATATAAAAGCTGTGTACACTTTGGAAAGAAAGAGATAACCTAAACAATCACTTACAAAAGAATATAAATTCTTTTACTCGGACAGTTTTTGTAAATATTCAAAACAATATTATGTTATTATCTTTTGCAAACAAGTAAAATCTTCGGCTAAATCTAATTTAATTCAATTAACGCAAGATGTAAATTTAATGTTAGCATACAAATATTGCATTTCAGTATAGATTGAAATTATTATAACACTTTAGTTCTCAATTTGGAATTCGGTACAGATACCATAGCACCAAAAGATTTTATTCATTTATCTACAAAAAATTCTTATTAATTGATGATTGTTATGAGTTAGATAGATTATCATACTCGATATAAAATACTTACTCATCATCAGATTCATCACTATAAATATGTTTCATGCTATCAATGGAATTTTTTCTTGTATTTCTTATGTTGCTCTTGGGACTTGACTGATTAGCACAATCCCTGAAATATATTATAAATATTAAACTAAAAGGAAATTAATTTATTATAATAAGCACAACATTAGAAGAGATTTCATTACAGAATTGAATATAACATAGAATGAATATGTTTTTGCGAGAATAATGATCAACTAATAATATACATGTAGGAGAATATTATAAGTTGATAGCTACATAAGAAGTAATAGTAATATAAAATAAACATTTGTATTCAAGTGAATTAAAAAGAAGCATAATGACTGGAACATTAATTTACAAAGCCTGTGAAAAGTGTTTAACTTGACTATGTTGTCTAATAGCTAATAGTTCTTGAATGGTGGATGTGGCTCATGGGATCGCTCTCAAACCAAAAAGACACTTAAGGACTGATAGGAAAACTGTTTATTTCAACTTAAACATTTTGAACTTATTTTTGGACCAAACATAATCATTATTGAATTTATATAAAAATACAGGAGTTATGTCAGATAGCTAGACATGTTACTTCTCCAAACGATTTTAACGGAATCCATCAAACATGACACAATTCAGTCTGAACAAATAAAACTAACATTCCAAATTTAATTTAAAGTAATTCAAACATAATACATAAACCAAACAGGTCAGAGTTGACATCAAAAGAGTATGTATAATCTGAGATTACCAATCAACAATAGTTAGGTTATTTTTATTAACGCAACACAAAGTCCTCAGCCAATACATTTATTTATCAGATGTCTAAATTCAAATCTGCAAGTTGTTGAAGTCAAAAGGAATGATTGCAACTTTTGTTATTTTTACATTGCATAGAGCATATCAATATGAATGATATATTTGCACCTCAATCAATCAGATAGAAATTACACAATAGAGCATCAACTTGCCTCTTTACATTATCAACTTCATCTCTACCTTCATCTTGCAACGAGGAAGGGTTTTGATGGTGTGATAAATGCGAATTTCTATTGTTACGTTTAGTTTCGACACCATATTTTCCCATATCCCCTATCCTTTTAGCCAAGCAAGTTGTGCAGTGACTATGAATTCCTTTTCGCGCTGATGGTATTATTGTTATTCCTGTATTCTGTAAATTAAAGCAGTCAATTCATTATAAACAAATTACGAAATAATAAAGATCGATAAAAAAAGAAATATTAAAAAGCTTACGTTCGTGTGAAATTTGCCATTCATTAAGTTTATTTTTAATAATACTATTTTATCTTCTCAAAACGGTACGAGAAAATTATTAAAATGAACTGTACAATTCTTGTTCGTAATGGGCGTCGAGAAGTAAATAATATTTTTTTTTAAATAAGAATGTATTATTTTCGGCAAATTTAAATGAATAATGAATATCAATAATGTACTCTGATAAATATTCACGACGAAACACAAAAATGAAAAAAATATCTGACTGATCTGACATAGACTTAAGACTCCATCACCAGTGTTATCAACTAACCATAGAGTAAAGTAATACTACAGAAATAGAGAGCCATCTCGCATATTATTTTGGTCAACATCGCGGGCTAGCGACATCTATATTTCTTGTTCCGAAACATTCGGTGTATACCTATATATACCTATATGATGTATATACGCATATCTATTAATGTAGCTAAAATATATTTATTTATATAATAGTTACATTTAATAAGTACACAATTTAATGATGAATGCCATACTGATAAGGCATTCATCACGAAATTAAGAACTTATTAAATGTAACTATTATATAAATAAAATATATACCTACATTAATAATACGTTTATAATTATGAAGAACTTAAAGTATATTAAATATGAAGTAGCAATTACATGAGAAAGTAAAACAATGTTATTTATTTCTTATTTTCAATATATTTTTTGGGTATTTGCTGTTTCTTTTTGTAATTCTTACTTCTTTTTCTTAGTCTACTAATTTTACTTCTTAATTGTGTAATTTGCTGCTTTAAGTTGTTACTTTCTTTGTACCTGTAACATATAAATATAAATTACCTTATTATTTACTTATTATGAAAATATTTTTGTGTGGATTATATTGTTTTCCAAATTAATTTTACCAGAAGAGTCGTTAATTTAATGTTTATGTCAACTGTATGTTCAATATCATATATGGATTCAGCACTACTAATAACATCTGTATGGTTAATGTAATTAGTAGTCTCATACACATCTCACATATCTAGCATAATAACAGCATTACTGTTTTTATCACATGAGTTATGAGAATATTAAAAGATGTTCATATTTCCATGTTAAGTTATCCTAATACTATTTTTAATATTGTTATTCATAACTGCCTTGGTGGTCTCACAGCATAAGCATAAGATTCTTATAAAAAAAACCACAACCATTTGGCCCAACTTGTCAGAAAAATTATCAGTAGCATGTACCTAGTAGTCAACAATAGGTTTGCCTCTTAATGTGTGGATCTAAACATAACTGGTTCTGTCACAGAATGTGCACATTTTATTGAAAAGTACATGGAGGACTAAGCTATGCTCGGTTCTTTTGGTAAATCGTGTATTTTGGAAATATATATATATATATATATATATATATATACAAGAATTGCTCGTTTAAAGGATAAGATTTAAAGGATGATACATTTTACATGATTTTTGTATAAGCATAGAGTTTTCCTGTTATATTACTGTTAAATTATAGACTAGCTGTGCCCATGACTTCGTCCGCGTGTAAATTGTAAAATAAAAGTAGCCTAAGATACTCCTTATTTCATCAGCTATCTGCAACTGAAAGTTCCGTTAAAATCGGTTTCAGAGATTAACCAGAACAAAAATTGTAAAAAATGACAACATCCACATGCATTTAGTAAAAAGCGGTTATTTTAATATTACAAACAGACACTCCTGTTTAATTTAAAGTATAGAATAATTTTACCTGCAACCGGTAGTTGGAATGTTTGTTGGATTGTTATGGACATCCATAACGGTAGGTGTTTCTGAAAATAATAAAGTTTCATTTATTACATAAACATCTATAATGATAATGAAATTTAGTTGTGAAAACAATATTTTTGCACAATTTGTCTAAGGAAATGCCTGTCAATCATATACTAACTCAGAATGATGAGCAAAGTGAATTACTGCATAGGATTTTGAATTATTGAAGTTTTAAATGCATAAGGTGCTTAATGCTTTTTGTTCCAGCAAGCCTTGCACTTATCATTATATCAGTGATTTGCTCATTGCATTAATGGTAGTAATATGTTGGCTTCTATAAATTTGGGATCTAAGCATTACTGGTTCCGTCGCTGATGTGCACCGGGCAAAAAAATTGCACCCCAGTTTAGTTTATATTATCACTTATACTTATTATTATTTATTTAATTTTTTATTTTATATTACTTATATTACTTATATTACTTTATCTTTACAGGCAATTTTCAATATTTTTATTTTACAATATGAGCACATCTTAAAAGGAGCATTTAGCAAAAAGTGTACATTTTATAGAAAGTTTCTTTTGTTTATTTTTTAATCATTTGTTTTCTGATGAATATTGAATGTTTAGTCTATTTATTTGCTTTTTGTTTAAGCATGAATTATTCCTGACATTGTATTATGTCTACATTATGAATAATAACTTGATTTTTACCTGCAACCCGAAGTTGGACTGTATATCATATTGAGTATATAAATATATATCATATTGAGGGTTATCCATATGGGCATCCAAAACAGTAGGTGTTTCTGAAAAATATAAAGTATTATTAATATAATACAAATTTATAGTGGTAATGAAATGTAGTGGTAGAAAACAGTTTTGCACAGTTGATCTAAGAAAATACCGTACTTTTGCCTGTTATTATCTGATAACTAAGAATGATGAGCAAAGTGGATTGCCACACAGGATTTCGAATTATTAAGTTTTAAATACAGTGCGGCATGGAATATGACTTTTGCTGCAGCAAGCATGACACTTACATCGTCCGTAATATCAGTGATTTGCTAATTTGGTTAATAAGTAGAAAAAGTTTTAAGTAGCAATTTAAAAAAAAAATGAATTACTGTTAATAATGATTGAATTAAACTTTTGGGATCGATACTATTAAAGGCACCGATAATCTTAGTGCGTCTGCATAATGATTTACAACATTTCTTTGGCATTAGAGTTTTATGTGAGGAAGTGGCAAACGAGCTGGCGGTTCACCTGATTTTAAGTGATAACCGCCTACCCATGGACATTTGCAAAACCCGCAGGGTTGCAGATGCGTTGCCTCCTCTTAATAATGTGGTCCCCGGCTACCTCACTCACCAGACGAAACGCAGAAGTGCAACACTTCTACTTTACGCCGGTCTTCTGTGAGGTCGTGGTACTTACTCAGCCGGACCTGCCTATTCGTGCAGCACTGTTGCGTGGCCCTACCACCGTTAAAAGAGTTATGAGAGATTTAAGATAAGATCACAATGTATTATTATATACATAATTCTTCGTCTTTTCATGTCAACAACACAATCGAATCAATTAAGAATAATGTTGAATAAACTTAAGAGTTTGGAGTAGCCATACACAAAGCTTCTTGTAAGTCCTAATACCAATAGTTAAAAATTATTTTTACCTTCTCTTCTGCCTGTCTTTAAGTATTAAAAGTTATTTGCTTTTTACTATACACTATATTTTTACTATAGCTAAAGAATGTAAATCCAAATTGGCTCAAGTTTTAGTAAGTAATATTTTCTCTTCTGCCTGTCTTTAAGTATTAAAAGTTATTTACTTTTTACTATACACTATATTTTTACTATAGCTAAAGAATGTAAATCCAAATTGGCTCAAGTTTTAGTAAGTAATATTTATATATTTTTAAATACTATGGATTTTCTTTCAAAATAAAAAATATAATATTTACCTGTTGTGGGTAGTGCAGTTAGTTGGTATGTAGACGACAAAAGGTTATCAATATACACTCCCAAAATTATTGAAGATGCTGAAAATAATAAGATACACAAATTAAAAAATAAATAACATTTCTCTTACATCATCCTGAGAAATAAATGTTTCATTAATATTTGTGTCAATGCAGTCTTCAAGGTTAAAAATGTATAGAAGTGAACTGGTTATATACAATAGATTTATCAAACTGACTACTTATTGTGTGTTTCCAACAAAAAGTTTATAATTAGAGTGAAAGCTTAGCTTTATTATTGATTTTTTTACAAAGAAGTTAAAGTAAAGCGTATATATAATAATATCACACAGATGGGCAATGGTCTCCCCTGTTCAAAAGTTATTAAGTTATTTATTTATTTATTTGTAGTTCTTATAGTATGGTTTCACAAGGTGTTACAAATCATAATATTGTACCACATGTTATGCAAATTTTTATATAGCATGCAAAATATTACACATATCAACTTTACTATTTATATAAATTTACAAAATACAGTTGCAGTCAATTATAAATTAAATTTCACAATTTGTAATAAAGAGTAGAAAAAATTAATTAATATAATGTCAAGTATTTAACCTTATTCAAAAATTCTTTGATGTCGTAAAAATTATTTACCTTTAACCATATTAATAATTTTTTTTAAAATTGTCTGTCATCTAGAATTTTCATGTTATTGGGTATTTTTTTAAAAATTCGTACACACATCATCAAACAATTATTACTATACTTTGCAGATCTAGGGGTGTCTTTTAGCACTAGTTTATGTTGGTTCCTTTTTGGCCTGTTATTGACTTCGTTTGCTGTTGTAAAGAATTCTTTATGATTCCTTAAGGCATATAAGGCATATACATTGCGAATTGGTGGACTTAACACATCTTCGAAATATTTTTAAGTTTTTCTTCACGACTGAGCATGTAATACATCATCAATCAACACTTAAAATCGAAAATTTCATTAATGCCAGCACCGAGATTTGAACTCAGGTTGCTGAAGCCAATATTGAATTAAAAGCAAGTGCCCTGACACAGCTATCAAGGCTACATATTTTTTATTATTATATCATGGCTAATTTATAATTCATATTTAATTTAGGAATCTATGCATACATTTGTTAAATTAATACTTACTTCATAGGTGCAGTGTATGTATTTTTTATATTACTTTACAGTTAATTGAGATGTTTGTAGTAGTTTTTTACATTTTCATTGAAGCATTTATCACAAATTTTCTTGCTCTCATGGATCTGTTCATCTACCATGCCTCTAAAAGATTTACC